AGTTCGAGACCAGCCTGGCCAACGTGGTGAAACCCTGTCTCTACTAAAAACACAAAAATCAGCCGGGTGTGGTGGCACGTGCCTGTAATCCCAGCTACTTGGGAGGCTGAGGCAGGAGAATCGCTTGAACCCAGGAAGTGGAGGTTGCAGTGAGGTGAGATCACACCACTGCACCCAAGCCTGGGTGACAGAGTGAGACTCTGTCTCATAAAAAAAAAAAAAAAGAAAAAATTAAGAGGCTTTATTACATCTTGATGCCTTGAGAATTCTCTATTGAATGGTGAAGTTTTATAAACATTTCCTTTTCTGTGGAGCTAAGCCCACTACTCGATTCTACAGTGATGTTCACATAAAATCATTGTGGGCCGGGCGCGGTGGCTCAAGCCTGTAATCCCAGCACTTTGGGAGGCCGAGACGGGCGGATCACGAGGTCAGGAGATCGAGACCATCCTGGCTAACACGGTGAAACCCCGTCTCTACTAAAAAATACAGAAAACTAGCCGGGCGCGGTGGCGGGCGCCTGTAGTCCCAACTACTCGGGAGGCTGAGGCAGGAGAATGGCGTGAACCCGGGAGGCGGAGCTTGCAGTGAGCTGAGATCTGGCCACTGCACTCCAGCCTGGGCGGCAGAGCGAGACTCCGTCTCAAAAAAAAAAAAAAAAAAAAAAAAAATCATTGTGAATTCTGTTCATTTTTCCTTTTGAAGTGTGATTACTGATACAGTTGGATTTATTTTTGCCATTTTATTTTATGCTTCCACTTTACCCTACTTTCTCTATGCTTCTTTTTCTTTTCCTGCCTTTGTTAAGACTGAATTGCTTGTTTGTAAGTTTGAAATGTATTTGTTCTCTGCTAAAAGTAATGCATTTAAGGACTGCCCTTAATTTTTTAATATGCATGCACACTCAGAGTGTGAGGTTAATCAACATTTTGGAACAATACGAGGACTTCATATAACTTTAAATATCTCAGTTCTGCACTTAAGTTTTATTGACCACCCGCCACACCACCACCCTTGTAGACACAATTATTATCATGCAGCATTGGCTTAGATTTACCCACTGTAGTAGACTGTTGGTGCCCCATACAGATCCCTTTTATTGGGCCACTACATCCACCAGCCAGCTCTAGTATTATTTGACAGTTAGAACGTTCTCTTGAGGATTGCTCCCATAAGGACAGGGCCTACCTGGCTGGGAGGTTACCCACCCTAATCTCTGAGGGGACACTGCAGCAAATGCCCGACTGACTCAGTGATAGAAAAAGCCAGTTCCCGCCGGGTGTGGTGGCTCACGCCTGTAATCCCAGCACTTTGGGGGGCCGAGGTGGGCGGATCACAAGGTCAGGAGATCGAGACCATCCTGGCTAACACGGTGAAACCCGTCTTACTAAAAATACAAAAAATTAGCTGGGTGTGGTGGCACATTCCTGTAATCCCAGCTACTCGGGAGGTTGAGGCAGGAGAATGGCTTGAAACCGGGAGGTGGAGGTTGCAGTGAGCCGAGATCGTGCCACTGCACTCCAGCCTGGGCAACAGGGAGACTCAGTCTCAAAAAAAAAAAAGGAAAAAGCCAGCTCCCTTGCCACAGGAAAGATAACTAAGTGACGCCTCTATTAGTTTTCTATTGCAGCTGTAACAAATTATTAATAACACGAACTTAACAGATTAAAACAACACAAATACATAGCTAGGCAGAGTGGCATGTGCTTGTAATCCCAGCTCCCGGGAGGCTGAGGCGGGAGGATCATTTGAGGCCAGGAGTTGGAGACCAGCCTGGGCAACACAGCAAGAGCCCTCTCTTTAAAAGAAAACAAAACACACACACACAAAAAGGAAAAGGCCTGGTGCGGTGGCTCGTGCCTAATCGCCATGTTGGCCAGGCTGGTTTCGAATTCCTGACCCCAGGTGATCCGCCCGCCTCCACCTCCCAAAGTGCTGGGTTTACAGGTATGAGCCACCATGCCCAGCCTCCATATAATCAAATTTTAATAAATCTTGCAACCAGCCTTTATGCCCTCAAATATAAACATCTCCATTTTGTCAAAGGCAGGCTATATAAGCTTTTCATTGCAACCAAGCCTCACAAAATCATTTCTGATGAAGCCTCTGATTCACTGGACTGCTACAGAGAAGGAATAGTTTCCTACAGGCTGACAATAAATCTAACACAGTAATATGCTTTTCACATACTTGATCACACATCACAATACTAACTGAATACCTACTGTGAGCAAATCACTATGCAACATGCTTTACAAGTGAGAAATTGATTTAACACAGAAAACTGTTCCAAGTAGACTCCAACCTTGTGGGAGAAAACAGCATAGATACAAGACAGAACAAGAAGCACTAACAGAGACGGGACAGTATGGAGAGTACTGGCAATATTCCGTAATTACACACAAATATTTTCAAATATCCTGACAGATACTTAGAAATGTATAGGTAAAAATGAAGTGCTACCTTTTTCAGTTTTCATTCATATGTTCAAGCTCTCCAATTAGTTATCCCTACTACTCTTTTGCCAGTAAGTCATATGCCAAGTTCTCCTATATTATTATACAACTTTTAATATAGGAATATTTATGTCTATTCAACTGAAAGCTCAAGGGCAGACATTTTTGTGCCCCCTCCCCCACATTCTTCGTATATCATGCACAGGACACTGTATTTTCAGAAATGAACAAAATGATCCAGCAACTAGAGCTCTCCACAACAGCCTGCCTGTTATGTTATTTCACTGTATCAGATAACAGCATCATGCAGGTGCGGCCAAGGCTCCACCTAATGTGACCTGATCACACTCATGAATATCTGTCACTTTTAATTCCACAACAACGGAAAGCTTGGCAAAGCAGAAACAAATAAGAGCACAAAGAAAAAACAAGTATTTAGGCTGGGCACGGTGGCTCACGCCTGTAATCCCAGCACTTTGGGAGGCTGAGGCGGGTGGATCACGAGGTCAGGAGATCGAGACCATCCTGGCTAACATGGTGAAACCCCGTCTCTACTAAAAAAATAAAATTAAATTAAAATTTAAAAAAATTAAAAAATAAAATAAATTAGCCGGGCGTGGTGGCGGGCACCTGTAGTCCCAGCTACTCGGGAGTCTGAGGCAGGAGAATGCCGTGAACCCGGGAGACGGAGTTTGCAGTGAGCCGAGATCGCACCACTGCACTCCAGCCTGGGAGACAGAGCGAGACTCTGACTCAAAAAAAAAAAAAAGAAAACAAAAAGAATCAAGTATTTATAAGCAAAATCACTTCCTATTAAGAAAGTCCGAGTTTTATTTAGCATTGTATCTGAGGCACTAACAAGAGTAAGGAAGAAACCAAAGATAGAGGCCACATTAAATGTTAAGGAGTCTCACGATAATGAAAGCATGCAGCCTGTAACCAAACTTGAAAGTACGAAATGTCATATGTTTACAATACATAAAATATACTATAGGGACTTCTTATCAAAAGGAGATAGTCTGAATATCTGCAAAGACTTTCTAATATGAAGACTCTACTACCTGTTGTTCTGCTGCTTTTCCCAGTTCCAACCTAGAACTCTATGGGCAAAACTAACAATACAGAAAGCTTTTTTGGGCAAAGGAGCCTCTGAGGGAGTGTGATACCAGTCCTGAGAAACAAGTGAACTGGCCTAGTGTTTAACCAACATAATGCTACCAAAAGCCTGAAATCTTGGTATTGACATCTAATACTAGATTACATCAAGGAGACGATTCTCTTTAAGCCATAATTTCACAATTATATTTTTTATAAAATCACTGTTCTTCAGACAGTAAATTCACACTATACTACTGAATATTTTAAAGTGACTTTGGCTTCTTGGTAATGAAGGGACCAAAATAATGATTTTTAGAAATGAAAAGCAGATGTATTTGAGGTTAATTAAATGATTCAGTGATCTAACTATGTGTAACCCCAAAATAATTAATTCTGCCCAGACTGACAGGATAAACAAAAAAATTAGAAGCTTACATATAAAAAGATACTTTTAAAATTACAGACATCAAAAAAGAAAAAAGAGCTTTAGATATGTTGTAGTATTTCCTTAGAAGAGCCTTTTTGAAATGTACAGTTATGGCTGGGCACAGTGGTTCACGCCTGTAATCCCAGCACTCTGGGCGGCCAAGGTGGGCGGATCACCCGAGGTCAGGGGTTCAAGACCAGCCTGGCCAACATGGAGAAACTTCATCTCTACGAAAAATACAAAAATTAGCCAAGTGTGGTGGTAAGTGCCTGTACTCCCAGCTACTCGGCAGGCTGAGGCACAAGAATTGCTTGAACCTGGGAGGCGGAGGTTGCAGTGAGCCAAGATCGTGCCACTGCACTCTAGCCTGGGTGACAGAGCAAGACTCTGTCTCAGAAAAAAAAAAAAAAAGAAAAGAAAAGAAAAGAAAAGAAATGGGCCGGGCGCGGTGGCTCAAGCCTGTAATCCCAGTACTTTGGGAGGCCGAGACGGGCGGATCACAAGGTCAGGAGATCGAGACCATCCTGGCTAACATGGTGAAACCCCGTCTCTACTAAAAATACAAAAAAAAACTAGCCGGGCGAGGTGGCGGGCGCCTGTAGTCCCAGCTACTCGGGAGGCTGAGGCAGGAGAATGGCGTAAACCCAGGAGGCAGAGCTTGCAGTGAGCTGAGATCCGGCCACTGCACTCCAGCCTGGGCGACAGAGTGAGACTCCGTCTCAAAAAAAAAAAAAAAAAGAAAAAGAAAAGAAAAGAAATGTACAATTATTACATTTATAACAAAGTAATAACTCCAGGAAAAAACAACATAAAAATTGGTATCATATTACATCAGCAGAGTCTGTTTAATATCTTTAATAATTATATCATTTCTAAAGCTTTCCACAAAAGAGTATTACAGTTTTTTAACTTATTGGAAACATATCTAGGAAAAAAAAAAAAAAGTCAGCCTTAATACTGAAACTATAATACAAATTTTAAATTATGGACACATACCATAAAACACAATGAACATTTTATTTAAATAAAAAGAAAAGATTTCACTAAGCAATAAACCTAACATATTTCTCTTCTCTCCATATCTACATCCAATGGTGATATTTTATAGGCTAGTTTCTAAACAGATGCAAATTTTTACAAAGCGGTGAAAGCCATGTTTTGCTCAGGAATACTATGGTTCACATACCATACAGGTTATTTTACAGCAGATACTAGTTTGCCAAGCTTCAGATGGCAAAATGCTAAGTTGTGAATTGAGTATTGTCCAGCTAGTTGTTTCTCCTTGCCCTAGAGACTCTGGCAGCATGACTTGAGAGACTGCCTTATTGCTGCCACTTCTCTTCTCATAGCTGAATCCACTATGGGAGAATATTCATGTCCTTAAGATGCAAGTCCGAGCAAAAATCCTCCCACAAATCCACTGGATATCACAATGTTCTGCTTGATAAATTCTGTTGCCTGAAACAAAGTTTAAACAAAAACACTCTTAATTATGCTACAACAGGGATGAACCTTGAAAACATTATGCAAAGTGAAATAAGGCAGACAATAAAGGACAAATATTACATAATTCTGCTCATATGAGCAGTCAGAAAGCAGAATACAGATCATTAAGAGCTAGGGAGAGAGGCAAACTGAAAATTAGTGTTTAATGGGCACAGAGTTTAGGATGATGAAAAAGTTCTGGAAATAGATAGTGATAATGATTGCAGAAAAATGTGAATATGCTTAATGCCACTGAACCGTACGCTTAAAAATGGTTAAACTGGTAAATTTTTTTTTGTATATCTATTTTACCACAATAAAAAGATGCACATTAAAAAAAAAAAATTCTTACTGAATCCAGAGCCAAGTAGCAGTTTCAGCTATTTTCCTCAATTCAACAAATATTCAGCCAAAATTCCTGTGCACCTACTAGGTGTCAAACAGCATGCAAGATCCCAGAAATGTCCCTGACTAATTGAAGGAGCCTAGAGAACACAGTCATGCCCAGTAAGCTCCTTGGCTATTGAGATAAGTACATGGGCAGCAATAATCTCACAAGTAAAAAGAAATCTACCAGTAAAGTAGATATAAATGGCCCATCATCAAGTTATTCACACAGATTATTTAATAAATTGTCACGGCAGGCACAATGGTATTTATTAATAGTCCATTTAGCCAACAGAAAAAAAACATACAGGATCAAAACCAAAACAAATCACTTTGGTAAAATGTTTAACCAGAATAAAATCATGAGGAAGCCATCAGACAAAGCCAGACTGTGGGATATTCTGCCCAGAGGCATCAAAAACGTCAGTGCCATGAAAGATGGGGGAATAAAATTAACAGATGAAAGGACTATTTAAGACTAAATGAGACTTCATAGACATGATAACCGAAAACAATATATAATTTTTTGGGGGGGGGCGGGTGGGAACAGGGTTTCATTCTGTCAGTCAGGCTGGAGTGCAGTGGCACAATCATGTCTCACTTATAGCCTCAAGCAATCCTCCCACCTCAGCCTCCCAAGTAGCTGGGACGACAGGCGCATGACACCACGTTCTAATTTTTGTATTTTCTATAGAGACAAGGTCTCTCTCTGTTACCAGGCCAATCTCAAACTCCTAGGCTCAAGAGATCCTCCTGCCTCAGTCTCCCAAAGTGCTGGGATTACAGGAGTGAACTACTACACCTGGCATATAATTCTTAATTGGGGGGAAAAAAAAGCCATAAAAGATATTTTGTAGAAAAATATTAATATGAACTATATACTAGAAAATACTGGCTGGGTGTGGTGGCTCACACCTGTAATGCCCAGCACATTGGAAGGCTGAGGCAGGCAGGCTGCTTGAGCCCAGGAGTTTGGGACCAGCCTAGCAACACGGCAAAACCTTGTCTCTACAAAAATATAAAAAGTAGCTGGGCATGCACCTGTAGTCCCAGCTACTTGAGAGGCTGAGGTGGGAGGATTACTTGAGCCCAGGTGGTGGAGGCTGCAGTGAGCTGTGATCACACCATTGCACTCCAGCCTGGGTGACAGAGCAAGACCCTGTCTCAAAAAAACAAACAAAAAAAGGAAATACTATTGTCTCATGTTACATTTTTTTTTTTTCTGGATTAATAATGGCATTTGGTCAGGCATGGGGGCTCATGCCTGTGATCCTAGCACTCTGGGAGGCCGAGGCAGGACTGCTTGAGCCCATGAGTTCGAGACCTGTGCAACATAGCAAGACCTTGTCTCTACTAAAACTTTAAAAATTAGCTGGGCATGGTCACGCACACCTATAGTCCCAGCTACTTGGGAGGCTGAGGTGGGAGGATCATTTGAGCCGGGGGGTCAAGGCTGTAGTGAGCCACGATGATGCCACTGCACTCCAGCCTAAGCAACACAGTGAGATAGAATGAGACCAGTCTCAAAAAATAAATAAATAAATAAATAAATAAATAAATAAATAAAAGGTGGCCAGGCGCGGTGGCTCACGCCTGTAATCCCAACACTTTGAGAGACTGAGGCAGGCGGATCACGAGGTCAGGAGTTCGAGGCCAGCCTGGCCAACATGGTGAAACTCCGTCTCTACTAAAGATACAAAAAATTAGCTGGGCGTGGTGGCACGTGCCTGTAATTCCAGCTACTCAGGAGGCTGGGGTAGGAGAATTTTGAACCCAGGAGGTGGAGGTTGCAGTGAGCCAAGATCACGCCACTGCACTCCAGCGTGGGCTACAGGGTGAGATCCCATCTCAAAAAAGAAAAGAAAAAAAAAAAAGTTTCTGAAGTGGCAGGTCCCACGTAGTTAAAAAAAAAAAAAAACGGGGGGTACTTACAGTTGTGTAAGAGAATATCTGTACTCTTAGAAGATATATACTGAAGTATTTAGGGATGAAAAGTTATGACATCTTAGTTTGGGAAAAAAAATTATCTTGTGTGTGTCACCCACACCCAGATAAAGTAAACATGGCAAATCATGAACAATTTGGTGAATAGATGAAGGGTATTTAGATATTCACTGTATTTGTCTTTCAACTTTTTAACTGGTTTGAGTTTTTTCAAACCAAAAAGTTGATGGAGGTAAAATGATAAAACAAAAACAAAGGCAAGGAAGTATTCAATTCCATTTTAAACAGAGTACAAAAGAAAAGGGCCAAATTACACATGAAAACATTAATAAAATATATTAGTCATATTAATAAAACATATATATTTTCAAACTATCCTACCTCAAAAAAAAATGTGTACTTTTAAGTTTTACTACACCTGTACATGTCCATTTATAAAGGCAGAGGAAGTATGTTGAAAAGAATGTTCTTAGTTTTTCAACAAGATCAAAGCGAGCTAGAGATGGGCAGGGGAATCTATATTAACCACCAAAAAAAAAAAAAAATAATGACTGATTTAAGTAGTGGTGTGATCTCAAATTTTACTTAACACTCTAGATATATAACCAAAAACACCATTTTTTAAAAAGACAGTAATTCCCCCTGGTCACATTTTCTGCTAAGGGACACCCATTAACCAAAAAAAGGAAAAAAGAAAAAAAAAAGTCAAAATTATATATCATCTTACTTCTTCAATTAAATTGTTGATTTCAGGTGCTGCTTTGTTCGCTCGTTTCTTAATCTGTCTTTTTGCTTTATTTACATCTTTTTCAACTCTCTTCCAGTCAATCTGCACATAGCCACTATGACTAGCAATCTGCAAAAAATATAATAAAAATTATCAATACTAAACCAACTAGGTTGTTGACTAATCTAATAGCCAAGAACATATAAACACTTAAGAGTTCTAGTAACCTATAAAACTTATCGCTAAGAAATTGTTTTTTATCCACTAGTTTATTCATTTAACAGACACTAGTGCCTACCCTATGCTAAGTACTGAATAAGGGAGACATACGCCCCTACCCTCAGAAAGCTTCAGGTCTGTTAGGGAAAACAGACATTAAGCATAAGTAAGTAACTAATTATTTAGATGTGATGTACAGTGCTTAGTACATGATGGGAAAATGATTCCAAAAGCTGTCTTTTAACTATACTATCATTCTGTCATACCTTTTGGAATAGGGAATTAGTTAAAAAGATACACAGATTATCTAGATTATATAGCTAGTTAAAAAATACCTTTTAATTAAATAGATCTTAATTATAAGGGATCATAAGCCAATCAGTTATTAGATCACTAAAGAAATTTAAGTAGCCTGCTAAGTATTTAAATAGCTCTCTTTACTTAAATTAAGAATACTTTCTGGTAATTGCTTTTGAAAGTAGAATATAAAACAAACTGTGCTCTACACAAGTTTCATGCTATAAATCCTTTTAACAAAACTATAGCTAAATGCCTATCATAAGAAAAATTATCATATGGTACTACTGAGAGACTGCAATATCTGAACAGGAACAACAGTGTGTGTGCAAAGCCAGTCCAGTAACTCATGCCTCCAAATAATAAAATAGCCATATATACCATTATAAATCACTTCTGTCAAGCTTATGCTTTGTCATTTTTTAGAGCATCACTTTTTTTTTTTTTTTGCCATTTGCACCCTGAATGACTTTTAGCCATACAGAAAATACTTTAAATAATAAAAAGATCTGATTTTGCATAAACAGGTTGACTAGACATCCTAGGTTCTATTTTGTCTGTGAATGACTCCATAGAAGAATTTATTTATCTGCATTTCTTCTTGTATTTATTCATCCACTATCACTTCAAACTCCAGCCTCAGCAAAATAGTGGTGATCAAATCAAATGGCAAGTGAAGGCTTTTTCTGGTAGTATTTGATACAGCAATTTGAGTCACAGGCATGGAGGTGATGATGAACCTTAGGAAAAGGAGCCTTTTCTACATACAAATCGAAAAGACTTCTTACTGGCTTGCACTAAGTAATCAAAATAGTTGATTACTATGAAGCTTTTGCAGAATTTTATTTTTTGCTGAATCTTAACATTTCTTCTTAATCCAAAGCTTGTGAGAAATACAAAGATTTTATGTATGCATATGGCTTTATTTTTTGGTTAGAACAAAAATATTATCTAAGCCACCACTCATAATCAACTCCCAATTCAACTGTCATTTTTAAGACTTAACATTTTAATTTACAAAGTTCTTTTTAAAAAGCTAATCTTCATGCCATGAGTTAAACTGGTAGTGAAATTTTTAAAAAAAGAAAAAAAAAAAATATTAACTGTATTCCCTGGGTGAGACCCCTTATCCACCCTCCAATCGCGAGCAAATGAATAAAGGAAACCATTTATATGAGACAGATGAAACAAATTCTCACAAACAGCACTCTATACAGAAAATATTTTTACAGAGCCATTTGTCACTGATAATTAGTAAACCCAGTGTTATCTGAGATAAAGATTTTGTATAGTTTAAAGAATCCTCTACATTTTGGGGGAAAATGTCAAACAGCTGCAAGTAAAATGAAAAACCCTGAGATGCTAAAGATACTAACGTCTCTTTGGAAGAAGACTTCCTTAACACCTCCAAGCAGACAGAGCGTCTTCCCTCTGCTCTCTCAGCACTAAACACACCCTTCTAGCTCAGCACTGACCATATGGGCTGTGAATCTCTATATCCTTAGAGTCCCAACTAATGCCAGATGAATGAGACATAGTAAATAAATGATAACAAAGACAATGAATAAAGACTAAATCTCAAAAGCTGTATTAACCAACCTGGCTCAAATCATGACTCTCAGCAACAAAGTGGATGGGCTAGATTATCCCAAAGGGCCCAACCTACCATGTCTACTAACAAGAGAATTATTTTTGATGCTGGAGTGATCTACCATCACTGAACAAATTCCCTTGAGAATCTGTTCCCTTGCAGGGAAAATGCAAAACCTTGAGATGCTAAAGATATTAATGCCTTAAAAAAAAGAGAGAGAGAGAGAGAGAGATGAAGTCTCACTATGTTGCCCAGGCTGGTCCTGGACTCTTGGCCTCAAGCCATCCTCCTGCCTTGGTCTCCCAAAGTGCTGGGATTACAGTGAGCCACGGCACCCAGCTGAGAAGTACACTTCTGATCAAACCGAAGAATACCAGTCTAAACTGAGCACCCTACTCCAGTGCAGAGATGACCAAGGACAAACAATCTGCCCCAAGTGGGGTTCAGGTACAACCAACTTAACCAACCAATACATACAGGACCCAATTCAGTCTTGTCCACACAAAATTCATCTGCAACTACAAGGAAATGCAAGCCAAAAGACTGGGGAGGGAATGGGGCAGTGATGACTGCTTTTTGAACATTTGACTTCCTATAACACTAAAATATTTAACGGGATTAGGTGAAGTACTTTCATTAGAATAAAAGCTTCCAAGTTAAAAAAATAAAATAAAATTTAAAAATGCCAGGCCGAGTTCTGTGGCTCACGCCTGTCATCTTAGCACTTTGGGAGGCCGAGGCAAGCGGATTACCTGATGCCAGGAGTTCAGGAACAGCCTGGCCAACATGGTGAAACCCCGTCTCCACTAAAAATGCAAAAATTAGCCGGGCGTGGTAGCGCATGCCTGTAATCCCAGCTACTTGGAAGGCTGAGGCAAAAGAATCGCTGGAACCCAGGAGGCAGAGACTGCAATGAGCCGATAACACGCCACTGCACTCCAGCCTGGGCAACAGAGTGAGACACTGTCTCAAAATAATAATAATAATAATAATAATAATAACAACAGAGGGGCTGGGCGTGGTGGTTCACCCCTGTACTCCTAGCACTTTGGGAGGCCAACGTGGGCAGATCACTTGAGGCCAGGAGTTCGAGACCAGCCGTGCCAACGTGGTGAAACTATGTCAGTGAAACTAAAAATACAAAAAACTAGCTGGGCGTGGTGGCTCACACCTGTAATCATAGCTACTCAGGAGGCTGAGTTACAAGAATCAGGAGGTGGTTCTTGAACCCAGGAGGCAGAGGTTACAGTGAGCCGAGATCCCACCACTGCATTCCAGCCTGGGTGACAGGGAGACTGTCTCAAAAATAAATAAATAAATAAATAAATAAATAATAATGCCAGAGGCCAGGCTCGGTTGCTCATGCCCATAATTTCAACACTTTGGGAGGGTGAAGCAGGCTGACTGCTTGAGCCCAGGAGTTTGAGACCAGTCTGGGCTATATGGCGAAATTCTGTCTCTACAAAAAATACAAAAATTAGCCAGGCATGGTGGCATGCACCTGTAGTCCCAGCTACTTGAGAGGCTGAAGTGGGAGGATCGTTTGAGCCTCAGGAGTTCAAGGCTGGAGTGACCCATGGTCACACCACTGCACTCCAGCCTGGGCCAGAGAGTGAGACTGCTTCCAGAAAAAAAAAAAAAACACACACACCAGGCTTTCAGATAGATTCATGTCGGCCAGAAAGCTCTAAACAGGTAGATGGGGCTTTTTGCTTGTGAACTTCACCATATGATGATCTAACCTGGCTGTTTCACTGCGAGAAATTCGCCCACCCCCAACTCCTTATCTTTAAATCATTTTTCTTGAACTGGTCAGATTTCCCAGAGAAGGGAAAGCCCCACACGTCCATATCGTTTAGAGCTTTCCATCAACTTTTAGAGCTCAATTCTTTTTTTTTTTTTTTTTTTGAGACGGAGTCTCGCTCTGTCACCCAGGCTGGAGTGTGGTGGCCGGATCTCAGCTCACTGCAAGCTCCGCCTCCCGGGTTCACGCCATTCTCCTGCCTCAGCCTCCCGAGTAGCTGGGACTACAGGCACCCGCCACCTCGCCCGGCTAGTTTGTTTTTGTATTTTTTTAGTAGAGACGGGGTTTCACCGTGTTAGCCAGGATGGTCTCGATCTCCTGACCTCGTGATCCACCCGTCTCGGCCTCCCAAAGTGCTGGGATTACAGGCTTGAGCCACCGCGCCCGGCCAGAGCTCAATTCTTAAATATGAGCAGACAACCAAGGATCATCAGACATGGAGGAAGGCCTTTAACTTGAAAACTAGAAACCAAAATAAACAAGCAGGAAAAAGTGGGGGGAGGGGAAACAAAACACCTTAGACAAACAGGGACTTGGTAGGAAGAAGCTTAAAACACACACACATACACACACAAAGAAGCTTGATCATTTACGTCCTCAGAGAGATTAAAAAAGATAATGCACAACTGAAAGAGCTCTTAATGGCCAAAGCTGGTAAAATTTGAGCAATAAAAGAGCATTAGATTATAAACCAAAGTATAAAATAAATATCCATGAGTCCATACTGATATAAATAAATGACTGAATAAATAAAAGAAGAGACAAACCTTGCAATAGACTATTTCTAAATAATTTATGTAGCTACTCCGCCTTCAGAAAGGTGGAGCATAATCACATTCCTGAAATGTGGGCTCTACACAGTGACTCCCTTCCAAAGAGTACAGTATGAGGCCAAGCGTGGTGGCTCATGCCTGTAATCCCAGCACTTCGGGAGGCCGAGGAGGGCGGATCACTTGAGGCCAAGAGTTCGAGACCAGCCTGGCCAACATGGTGAAACCCCGTCTCTACTGAAAATACAAAAATTAGCCAGACGGTGGTGTGCACCTGTAATTGGTGTGCGCCTGTAATTGCAATTACTCGGGAGGCTAAGGCATGAGAATCACTTGAACCTGGGAGATAGAGGCTGCCGTAAGCTGAGATCACGCCACTTGCACCCCAGCCTGGGCAACAGAGTGAAACTCTGTCTCAGAAAAAAAAAACAAAAAACAAAAAACAAAG